AGACTGACTTAATGTCAGGATAATTTCAGCACGTGCAGACACTATAAAAAAGACACACAACAAGACACAGCCATTATGACAATAGCAATTCAGATACAAGTGAAATAGCAAAACTTTGTGCAGCATAGGGATAGTTACAAGACTCACCATAAACCTATAGCACTTGGGCACAACGGGAATTGTGTGAGAGCAAGGAAAGCAATATCAGACCCTTATAGACAGATTCTAGTTTTACCAACTCCATTATGGAACAGAATATCTCCCTGGCAATTATGACCTCTTGCAAGTTGCCTACCCATATCAGTGATCCAGACCGCTATTTTCTCATATAAGAAATTCAGTATCATGATGATGACAAAGTTCAGGCATGATGCGGTGACTGAGGTTGCCAACTGAGGGGTCAGTAATCCACGGATGGGTTGCAGAGTTTGTGTAGTCTCCATGATTTGGGCAAAGGAAGCATAGACTGCAAGACGGTATGCTATCACAGCTGTCATACTAGCTATGATCAGAGAAATCTAAAGAGAGGAGAGAGATTTAAAGTAAATTTACATTACAACACAATTACAGGCATGCACTTTAAGAGCAGAAATTCATTGGATCATGCGTTAACTTTTTTTTCTTTTGGCTCTGAGTCCAGGAGCACTGCTATGCAAAGTATAGAGATGAAATATCAGTGTTTATTAGTTATATAAACCACCAAATATGTTTTATCAGCATAGATATTTGACAATCTAATATTTCTATTCAAAATACATGTGTGGGAAGACATTGGACCATACACTCAGAGATGGTCCAATGTTCTGTGTCTTTATAGCATCTATTGCAACTGGCTACTCCAGGATCAGAGCTACTAGGTGCATGGTAATACAAATAAGTTATAATTATAACAGTAATCTGTAGTCCATCTCCCTGAAAAGCATCCATCTATCTATTTAACATTGCATTTGATTTTAGCAAAAAAATCCCTTATTATTTTTACACATAATAATCCATGCAGTTGTCCGCATTCAAACAGATTATTTTCAAAGATATATGGGTTATACTAAAGTGTAAGCATGGGTGGCATTTTGCCCTAATCTAGCAAAACACACCAAATCATTATTGATAGAAGCTCAAGATCCTTACCTTATCCATTAAATTATAATGTACTCTGAATGACAGCAGGAAACATGCAGGATAATATTAATAGGGAGATCTAAACAACTCTGTAATAAATGTTAATGGGATAGTGACTATCAGTGATTGTAATACATGTTAAAGGGATGATTAAAAAAGATGCTCACCCAGAACAACACTGTAGTTCCTGAGATGCAGAACCGTACAGTCTGTCTAGTTAGAGGCAAATAAGGCTCCACCTCCTGCAACAGTCAAGCAAGCACAGCACAGTTCACAATCCACATACATATTTCTACTCCAAGCAGCACACAATGCCTAGAACAGCTGTGTGAAAGCAAACATCCTAGGAAAGCCATTTTTAATCCCCTTCGTGCTGACGAACGTACACTCCATAGTCTGTACATGGTAAGAAAAGTCAGAAGTGAAGTATCAATTATAAAGCCAATAACTAGGAAGAATACTTTATACAAAATCAGTCACCATGCCTGAAGGACGATTGTGTTTGGTATCTCCAATTATCAGTATTTGATTTTGAGCACGAGAATTACTACTATAGTGCTAGCTCAGTTGTAATGCAGCTCTGGCTATAAAATTTCATGTCTGTTTTCAGTATTTTTCATGTCAAGGATTCTTACAATAAATGTTTACTTGGATGTACAAAGTTGTTCCACACAGCCACAAAGCATTTTACTCCACTCCTTCAAGGCTTTATTTCCAATGAAGAAATGGATACATTTATTAGTGGGCAATCTAACTGCTCTATCATGCAGCTATCTCTTACCCAAAAGATTATTCCCATATAGCACAAGAACAGTTTCCCATTTTCATGTAAAGTCCTCTTTTTAGCAATCATTTCTAATTCCTAAAATATCAGATCAGATAGATTAACAAAGACTAATTCTAAGGGCAGAGAAATTTATATAGCATGTATAATCTGATAATGATGGGTATTTAGGCCTGGTCTGCACTGAAAAATTAACATTGCCAGAACTCGGACCCACAGCAGACAATTAGCTTGATAACCACATTTTAACATTTTTACTCTGGGCTGCCCTCTCACAAGCACCTATGGCACCCTCTGGGATGCCCCCCTCCTTTCAAGATTTATAATGGGGTATATAGTACAAATCATGGTAAGGCCATGGGCTGTGAATTTTTGTTTACTGCCTGTGGCCTGTCCATGACTTTTATTAAAAATACCTGTAACTAAAATGTAGTCTTACGTTTAATCACTGAGACAAAGTAGATTCTTGTTTTGATATAAGGTGATATTGGACTTAAACATTTTTTCAGACTACTTTATTTCTGTTACATAAAATCACAAATGTTAGCCCTAATACTGCTCTCTGTTACACTGGTGTAACAGAGTAATTTTATTGATTCCGTGAACTTATCCTAGTATAACTGGAAAAAGCATTTTCTTTTGTGTCAATTATATAGTATCTGTTATTTTAACTGAAGTGTTCATAATTGAGACAAACAACATTATTTAGCCCAGCTGAAGACCAAATCGCCCACAAAGATACAATTTGTATTTGAAGTATACAGTGCTGTACTTTTATGGGTGAGAGATCTGACTGGTTCAAATGTACTTACAATATACTTTTATCAATGAATGAATAATTCTGAGCACTCTTGCAGCTTGACTGGCATAAGTTATATTCAGTGATTATATACAATAGGCGGCTTCCTCCTTAACAGAATTATAAATACAACTAAAGTTAATGTGAAATATACACAGATATTCAAGGATTTATATAAGACCCTAATGTGCATTTCAAGCAAGTATTTCTGACAAAGGAGACATAATTTTGTTTCAGGAATGACAATATTAGGCTATCTGAAACAGTTTCCTACTTAAACTAATTTGAGATACCGATGCTATGTAGTGATCGAGCTTTAAAATTTCTGGGCCAAATTTTCCTTTATTTGCACATACACTAACATCAGTGGAAGAAGAATTTGACTTGCTGTGAACTAGTTCAGTATTTTCACCATCAAATATTAATGATAACTGCAGAAATAGCAAACAATGTGAAGATTACATTCTCACAATGGGTACATTCTGCGTTAGTATATCCATATCCAAAGGTCAAAGGTCTTGAATTACTGCAAGTAGTGATGAGAAATTGGTTTTACAACTGAAGCAAAGCTAGCTCTGCAAATTCAGTGAACTATATATACATTGCCTTTTCAGTTTGCAGAATTAATCTGTTTGAAACCTATGTCCCTTCACATGTTCAGTATCACACATTACATAATGAAAGAAAATGAAGCTGCAGTGTTCCCAACTAGTATTGTTTTCTAAGGCTGATCACTGACAGTGATTGCTACAAAAGCCTGCAGCACAAAAGCCTTTGAAAACCTGCAAAGATAACAAATGCTCTGTCATAAAGAAAAGGATCACAAGGTAATTGAGCTTTTAATGGCAACTGTGATATGAGCCCAAAGAAAAAATAACAGCTGTGGATTGACTTCTTGTTCTATCTTGTAAATGTTGTACTGGATTTTCACATGTCAGATAAGAAAACACATTGATGGCCAACTCCTGATCTCCTGTACGAAGACAGAATAAATAATTTTTCACAGGGAAAATTGCTTTTGGGGTCAATGGAATCCTTTTTCTTAGCCCAGTGGTACCAACAAGTATGCCTCAGATATGCTGCAACTGTAAACCTGCCCAAATTTAACCATATAAGCATTTGTGATTGCTTCACCCTCCATGACCCAACACTTGGATTTTAGACTGGTGGAAGTACATAATCAGTGCCCATGAGTCATGCCCTTACTTCCCTGTTCAAAACCCACTGCTCTCTGTAATGGATAGGGAAGCAGCAGCACAAAGAGTTATGTGATTTTTCCAATGGCCTTTCCCCCTTACATAGTAGAACCACAGTGGTTCCAATGCTTTATGGCTACTGTGAAGCTGTGCAAGAAGGAAAAGCATTTAGCCTCAGCTGTTCCTCTCTAATTGTTTTTAATTACTGGATCAAACTAGTTACTTGCCTGAAATGTGTTCTCTTGATCAATCTAAAACCAAGACCTCCAGAGAGCTACAGAAATGGCCTGTGATCAAGCAGTCATGTTGCTTGATGTTCAGATATTTATTTCACTATTGGAATGCACATTGCATCGAGGCATAAAAGTAATAATGGTGCCATTGCATAAGTAGAAAAACTCTGTGAGAAAAAGATCAATGTATATTTCTCCTAAAAATAAGGAGGCATGAAGGGAAGGGCTGTGTTATTCACATAATGGTATGCTATTTTAACAGGAATGGCTAAATTGAAGTTTTTCCTCCAAAAACGTGCTACTTTCATGTGTCTACTTGCATGACTAGTTAAAAGAAATTATGTAAAACATAGTTCCTGGGACAAGAATGATGGAAGCTATTTCAGAATACATGAAGGATCTATGATCTATCCCAAAGGCCTGCAAATTTACTCCTGCTTTAAAAATTTGAGAATGAAACACTAATAAGCACATCCCAAATTAGTCTGCATCCCAAATTAAACTTCAGACTAAGATCATGGGTCTCTACAATGTTTACCTTCCCAGTACTTAACTCCTCTCACAAACAAGATGCAGAAAACATGGCTAGTTGATAGCTAAACTTGTGTTATTTGTCTTGCACAGGGCTGGTGGGGGTTTTTCTGCAAAGAAGACAACAAACGTGTTCTTGAATATAGAAAAATTAAAGTTGTGCTTTAATTGGAAACAGACAGGAGGGATGCTTCAGTTTCTGCTATATCATCACTTTTGTACTCAGCATTCCCTTAAGAAAACAAAAACATTGCTGCACATAAATCCCAAAACGAGTATGACTTTTGCTATCTCTGTGCCGCAGACTTTTCCTCATCTATGCTTAGGGCTTTACCATTGCTTTGCAGTTTTCCTTATCACAAAGATGGCAAACATCTGTTGACTGGTCATTTCTCTTTAGCTATATAGCGTGTGTGTGTACATACATATGAGATATTACATTTATGAGAAGAGTAAAAATTTCAATACTCACTATGTAGTTACAAGAAAATAATAAACACCACAAGTTTCAGAGCTAGATTCAGCACTACCTTAAACCTGGTGGCTACGTCTAGATTGAGCATTCTTGCGCAAGAAGATATGCAAATCTGTATACCCAATGAGCTGCCATTTTTGCGCAAAGGGCTTTTGCGTCAGAAGGAACAGTCTACACTTCTCCTTCTTGTGCAAAACCCCCCTCTTGCGCAAGAGCCATTCTGCCGCTTATTTTCAGGGCAGGGATCCCCTGTTTTCCCCTGTATCTACACTGCTCCTTCTCATGCAAAATCCCTTTGCACAAAATGGTGGCTCATTAGGTATGCAAATGAGGCACAGCAATATTCATCATTGCACCTCATTTGCATATCTTCTTGCACAAGAATGTGCAATCTAGACATAGCCAGTGTATTTCTATTGTGTTCAGTGAGGTTTCATGGGCTTCAGGCCAAGGCTCCCTGTAAGCTATTTGCCTGCACAGCTGCCCAGCCCTTTTGAGCCCTTCACAAAGGTTCAGAGCTCCCTGTGCAGGGCAGGGGGCTCAGCTGATTGCCTGGGGAAGGGGCACTTGCCCTCTCACTGAGGAGGAGCAGAAGCAGCACCAGCTGTTGCTGCTGCCTGCTATAAATGGAGAAGCTGACTCCAGCCTTTACTATGGGCATGCCCCAGTACCCCACTCTTATGGAGGGTATGTACTCACTGGGAGAGTGAGTGAGTGAGTGAGTGAGTTCTCCAATCAGGAATGCAAGAAATACTTGGAGGAGCATGTTACTGAGGGTATGTCTACACTACCCCGCTAGTTCGAACTAGCGGGGTAGTGTAGACATACCCACAGATGGTGGAGGAGCCGGATGAACTGCCAGCTGAAGCAGTGCTTCATTGCCTGCCACCATTGAACTTCTGTGCTTCATTGCCTGCCACCAGCCATGTGGAAAAAGCTGGATAAGTTACAGGTGCTCCAGATTGGGTCATTTTCTCTGCTTTGCTCCCAAATCCTCCCCTGACTTGTGAAGTGCTAACAGGAGAGTAGCCTTCCTTTCCCTCTCCCTACCCCGTCCACCTTGGTGGAGGCCAACTAGCCCCTTGTTGGAGAATTGACTGGGGGGGAATTGGTTGAATGAAAATATTTGGTAAGAATTTTGGCGGGGGAGAGAAAGAACCCCATGTTGTGAAGAGATATTTTGAGATGAAATGCAGGACTTCAGATAAAAGAGTAGTATGATTGTGAAGCTATGTATTTCCTTGGGAACAGTAGAAGCTGGAGCCTCCGGTAAATCTGTTCTGTAGATATCTTAGGCAGTTAAGGGAATGGGGAGAGGAGGGACTTCATTTTTTTGTACCATAATAATTCCTTTGGAAAGTACCTGAGGGGAAGCAGGCTGGATGGAGTGGGTGTGTGCCAGGACATTTGCATTATTACATTTCAAAAAAAGTTTACATAGATTCTTTTAATTGAATTTTTTGAGTGTTGTACATATCTAAAATTCTGATCTAAATGATTTTTTAAAAATCCTGTGTTACAATTTACCATGTATTAATTACTATTGCATTAAGGCCAGATCTTTGCTATGTGGTAGAGTTCTGGCTCTGAGTCAGAAGTAGCAAGTACTACATGTTAATAATGGCTGTTTTGTAGGATGAAACCTTATTTGCAAGATCTATGAAACATGCATCTGTGTCTGTTGGAAAGGATGATGTCACATGTACTCCAAGGACTCGGGGTAACTGTGTTAGTTTGTAACAAAAAACTTAAAAACCAACAAAGGGCCTGTAGCACCTTAGACTAACAAACATAAAAATAGTATCATGAGCTTTTGTGGGAACAACTCACTTCTTCAGCCAAGAGTAGTGTTAATTTTATTTTTATTTGATTTCATATTAAATAATCATAAGCACTGTTCCTTGTTAATTAGCCCTTGTTTTAATATATTCTTCCACACTGTGATGGGGCATATGCCTGCACTGCCCCTTTAAGGGTAAGACCCAGCCCTAGGAGAGAGCTGAGAGCAACACCTGCCACTGAGGCAGGTATTGCCAATTAGGGCCCAGCTGGGGGCTGTATAAATAAGGGCTCTGGGAGGGAAAGGAGAGAGAGAGAGAGAGAGAGAGATATTCTTGCTCTAGCTGGGGAGCTGCAGGGATCTGGTTGCCAGGGGTGTCCTGAGACAGAGCAGTGCTGGGGAGCCCTGGCCTGGCCTCACTCCCTGCAGGGCCTGAGTGAACTGGGCTGCAGGGAGACAGCCAGGCTAGAAAGAGGCAGCAGGTCCACATGCCCTGGCCATTTCAGACTGCAGTTTGCTCCTGTGGCAGGAGCTAGATGAAGACTGTCAGTGGGTCACTGAGGCAAGGTGGGTGTAGGGGAATTAGGGCTTCCCTGGGAGGGAAAGACCCCAGAGTGCAGAGACTGATAAACACCCCCTCAGAAGGGGGCTGAGAGAAGCTGTAGTGGGGATTGCTGGAGGGCAGTGTACTCAAGAGCGCACCATAGTCTGAGAAGTGGGGATTGCTGGAGGGCAGTGTACTGAAGAGCGCACCACAGTCTGTGAGGTGGGGCTGGAGCTGGAGTGTAAAGTGAGGACATGGAGGAATACCTGCCAGAGGGAGATGCCCTGCTTCCAAGCTAATTCCCAGTGCTCCTGGGCACTGTGGCAGTGAGTGTCTGCCCTGTGACACACACCCATGGACTATTTAAAATATATATTTATATCTAGGGTTTTTGTTTGTACTGGTGTGTGCACATCCACACACACCTCAATACTGGAGTTGAAAGAAATTTCTGTGCCCGAAAGAAAATTCAACCCACCCAAGGATGGAAAATCTTACAGGGAACAGTGGTGTGGGCTGACTGAATTTAGTCTTATAATATTCTATATTCCAAACCCTCTATTCTCAGACAGAGGGCTGCTTGAAAAAACAACAACCCTATAACCATTTTGATGAAAAACAAGGAAAATGATTTCACTAAGTATTTGCAACATTTTTGATGCTCTCTATATATCTTGGTCCTTCTATAATCCTCACCACCCTAATATCTGAGTAATTATCTATTTTTCAACCAGCGCTCAGATCCCACTGTAAATATGAAAAAATGTCACTGATTTGAATGTATTTACTTCAGATCACTTCTGGTAAAATTGTCAGCAGAATGTGTCTCGTTGCTTTGTGGAGCATGAATTAGTACCCAAAATTCTGCTTTGCTCTCATACGAGTGTTTCACTGCCACCACAGTGTCACTGATCTTTACTCAGCAATTAGATAAAGACAAACTATCACATTATAAAAGTGTTAGCCTGGAGTTTTAACATACATTTGATTATTCATTTGTGTGTTCACTCAACAGACATCTTCACACACTATTTTTTAAAAATTACCTGAGTCACTGGATTCTTTTTCTTATGTGTACATTTGGCTTCATATTCTGGCCTCAGCTGGAGCTGCTGTTGTTCCTCTTCAAAATCAACCAAATCCCATTCATATTTGAGTCTAGCTTGTCGCCGCTTCCAAAACTCCAAGAAAAGTGTAACTGTAAGTGACAAATGTCATAAAATGAGACTAAAGCAAGTTAGAAAAGATGAATCTACTGCTGGGTGCTAGATACCATCCAAATTAAACAACCCCTCTCTCCTGTTTCTCAGTCCCTGTTCTATTACTTCTTTCAATGCGATTTGTCTCATGTTCATTCAGTACATAAATCACCCAAAATAAACTTCACTGGTAAGAGCTATAATAAGGGTTAAATATATTTTATTAATATACTGTAATGTAAATATGGACAAAGAGTAGGATGAAAAAGTAGCAACCCCCAATTACTGCACTAGATAAGATACAAATTTTATTACAGTAATTAGTTAAAACACAAACAGCTACACAGAATTAACAAAAGGACTGGGATATTTCAGATCAACCTGTTGCATACAAGAACCTATTATGGAAACATCTTGGCTGTGTCTAGACTGCATCCCTTTTCCGTAAAAGGGATGCAAATTAGACATATTGCAAATGAAGCGGGGATTTAAATCCCCCCCGCTTCATTAGCATAAAAATGGCTGCCGCTTTTTTCCGGCTCGGAGCTTTGCCGAAAAAAAAAAAAGCCAGTCTAGATGCGGATCTTTCGGAAAATAAAGCCTTTTCCGAAAGATCCCTTATCCATTATTTTAAGAGGGATAAGGGATCTTTCAGAAAAGGCTTTATTTTCCAAAAGATCCGCATCTAGACTGGCGTTTTTTTCCGGCAACGCTCTGAGCCGGGAAAAAAGTGGCAGCCATTTTTATGCTAATAAAGCGGGGGAGATTTAAATCCCCGCTTCATTTACAATTGCGATATGTCTAATTTGCATCCCTTTTACGGAAAAGGGATGCAGTCTAGATACAGCTCTTTATTATAGATAAGCCAAGCTATTTTTCAGTAGAATGCTTCCCAAAGTTTTCTATAAAGCATCAGCTGCTCTTAGGAGGGTTATTTTGATAAGATGGTGTTTTGAAGATACTAAGCGTTAGATGCATCTCAAAGTCAAGAAAGAGCTTGGCTTAAGAACTTTCTTTCTGAAATAGCAGGGTGTACAGGCTTATGAGTATATTTATAAAAGCAGATGAGACACATTAAAAAATAGTCAAAAAAGGCCTTTACAAACTGATTTTAAAATGCTGTTAACCTCTGGTAATCTGACATGTCTATGTCTGAATTGATAAGAATGTGTGGGTTGAACACACACACAGAAAAAAATTTATGTTGTGGTGCGATATAACCCTCTGCATTCCCAGAATGATCTACCTATTCAAAGGACCGTGCTTAAAAGTAAGAAAGATCTTGAGGAACATAAGCTTATAAAATCTAGTTCTGAAGTTTCCTGAAAGATTCCAGTGCAAGAGATTGTCTAGATGTGCGGATGATAAATATACATATTTTCCTTTGTGGAAAAATGGAAACTCTGGAATATGGTTAGTTTTAGAAGGCTAAGATATTTGAAACATTCTTTTATTATTCACCCAAATAGGAAAGAAGGTATTTCATTATTTGAGGCAGAGGTGGGGAAACTAAGGCCCGGAGGCTGCTTGCCTGGATCCAGCCCGAGGCATAGGAATTCCCCCCTCCTCTCCCCAGCACTGGGGAGCCTGTGCTGTTGCTCCAGTCCCCCGCTGCCCCACCATGGGGCCGGAATACACAAAATCTACTAACTTGTTTCTCTTTCCCCCAACCCCGTTCTCTAGGGTATGAGGGAAATGTGGGGAGTGTCTTTCTGCTTCTCAGTCAGGGCCACGTCAGGGAGAGTTGGGGGAGGGGGGAGGTTCTCTCTCACTTGTGCACAGTCCCTGACTAATTTTTTTTATGGGTCAGGGGCTCCTAACCCAAAAAAGGTTCCCCACCCCCGACTTAGGGTATGTCCAAACTACATCCCTTTTTCCATAAAGGGATGTAAATTAAACGTATTGAAAGTGCAAATGAAGCCAGGATTTGAATTTCCCGCACTTCATTTGCATAATGGAAGCTGCCACTTTTTTTTCGAAATGGGGCTTTTCGAGAAAAAAAAAGGCAGTTTAGATGGGGCATTTTCGAGAGAAATGCCCCATTTCAAAAGATCCTGTACTCGCAAGCATGAAAGTCAATAGAATTTTGTCCCTAACGTACATGTTAAATGGAATGAATAGAACAGTGACAAATAGATTCTTACAGGAAGTCTTATCAGAGAGAAGGGAACTCAGTTAAATACATCTGCCTTCTCAGCATCAAAATATATGCACGTTGCCTGAGTTTCCCTGGTGCAAAAGTGGAACTATGTGATGGTCCTGGTCTTAAGGTTATTTATAATAATGCATCTTTGTGACAGCCATGAATCAGAAGTGGAAGACTTTTGCTTCACGAAGTTAGAAAGAGAAACTTTATTACAAGGATCAGGACAGAAAAGAGAATACAGTCTGAGTTGCTTAAAACTCTGTATGACCGGTTGTCATGTACGTAATCAGAGTTGTGTTCACTACAAATTAGGTTATTAAATGAAAATAAAAATGGTTTATTAGGAGTGACATGCAGATAAACAATTCTGCAAAAACACAATCTTTTAATTGTATTGCACCACATGTGTAGGTTGCACAAGTTAGCAGATTTTTTTTTTTTTTTTTTTTGGTAGGGAGCAATTCCTTTACAACTTTTAAAATATTTTCATTCTTTAGTCAGGTCAGTACTTCTAAATTTAAAACAAAACAGCTTTCTCAATGTTTCTGAAATGTTTAGTCAAGATCTCCCCATTGCTTTATTTAAACTTTATCAAATGTACTCACCCCATATGCCCATGAAAATTGCAAAAAAAAGTGTTGCCACGTTATCAAACAAATGGGAGTACTGAAACAGAAACACACAGGGACAGGACAATTCAGTGATAGAACAGTTTTAAATAAAGCAGACCATGACAAATAATTACAGAGTTGGATACAGACCTTTGAGGATTCACATGTGGTATTCAGCTTCCAGTACTCACACTTCTTGTCACACAGAGGGCACATGATAATCTTTCCTCCAATCTCAGGGTCACATATTTCTTCGCTGAGAAGAAGATTGTTTTACATTTTCTTCAGAGTGTCTACATGACATTTCTTTCGAAAGTAGGTCAAAGCTTTACTTGTTCAAATGTGTTTTTAGCTTTGCTGACAACATGTCAAGGTTACATCCACTGATACAACTATAACAGGGGTCAGAGAAACCCAATTGCTCCTGGAAATGGAGTTAGTGATTCACTCAGTGCCATGCTTTGCTCTGAGTCAGTACTGAATCAGAAATTCAGCAGAAGCATGGTGCTGGATGTACAGTCTTTCAGATCAGATGCAAACAAAGGTTTTTTTCTAATCTGGTCTCTAAGGAACAGAGGGTACAGCTAGACTACAAATTTTTGTCGGAAAAAGGTATGCAAAATGTACTCCGCATTTTGCAAACCTTTTTCCGTTTCTTTTGTTGGAAGAGGCTCT